ACCCTCAACCCGAAACCCTAAACCTCCTCCCTCCCCATCCAAAGCAAAGCCGACTTTCAGCTCCAACCTCCCAGGCCGCTCGTCCTTCTGCTTCGTGAACGCGCACCTTGCTGCGGGTCAGGCGCGCCCGAGGTTTAGGGGTCTGGGGCTCTAGGGCGTTTTAGGGCGTTTTCGAAGTTTTAGGAGTTTTAGGGGTTTTTTGGGGTTTTAGGGGTTTTAGGTTTAGAGTTTTAGAGTTTAAGAGTTTAGGGTTGGTTTGGGGGCTTCATGCCTGCGCAGAGCACCTAGGATTCCAGGCCGATGAATTTGTGGCCTAGAGCCGGTTCACCGGTTTGCATATAGCTTCGGGGAAAGGAGGCCCGGAAAACTTTGAAGGTGCATAATATAGGGGACTTAATAAGTATCTATGTTATTTTGGGGTTCCTTATTATAGTTATAGTATAATGGGCCCCAAAACCCTACTCTAATTATTAAGGCTTCTACATTAGCATGCTTCCGGAGGTGAAGCTGGGATTTCACAAACCCGGACAGTTGACTTCCAAGTCTTAGCGACAGGACGCCGAGAATCGACCAGTGTGGGTAGTAAGTAGTAAATTGACATCATCGGTCGTTACGCCTGTAGTAGTGCAGCAGCGTTCTTGTATAAAATTACTTTCGGAAAGATGCACCTGAAAGCTTCTTCCTATGCTTGAGGCTCCGGCATGCCAGCAGGGTTTCAGGGTTTGTTTTTCTAGTCCATTTGGCCGTCATCAGCTTTTCGTTTGCAATGATGTTCGGTATTTGTTTGCTGTCCCAGGTATATTCCTTATCTAAGGGGTATTGGGCTTTCTGGGGTAAGTTCATGGTGCAGTGTTTGCCATCCTTGTTCCTATCATAGTTCCCATCGTAAGCAGCGGTGGCCCGTCCATTGTCAGCACTACATTTCTGTAAGCGCTCGACCCATGTCACTCCAAAGCTTCGACAGGAGAACTACATATCCCGGTGTCAGCACTACAGCCGGGAGCCCTAGCCGGCTGAGAAATACGTGTTCCCGGCCTGTTCCTCCGAACTGAGCGTGCCTTGCGCAGCCCAGAGAACCCAAGATACCTGAATTAAGGAATATGCCTTAAGTTATAGGAGCCTTAAATATTAGGATTTAAGGTCTATTCCTTAATTAAGGTATCTTGGGTTCTCTGGGAGTGACAAGTTGGGGGTAGTGGTGGCTACGACGACTTCCAGGATGCATATCAAGCCGCGCATGCGATTTACCCAGAGAGCCCAATACCCCTTAATGAAGGAATATACCTTGGAACCACATCCCAAACCCCAAACCCTGCGCCCCTGCGTTTGCTATTTTCGCTGGCCCTACTTGGAGGATGATGGGACTTAGTAAGTAAGGTTGTAAGTAGCCTAATTGGGGTCATAACTATAGGTACCTTATTTATAACCCGAGGTACTAAGTCCCATGATCCTTTAAGCAACCCTTAAACCCCTAAAAACCCTAAACCCGAAACCCCTAAACCCCCTATGACCAGATAGTTACTAAGTCCCATGACTCTAAGGACTTTAGGAGGGACCCCTAATAGGGACCCTTAATCCCATGACCGTAAATAACAATTGTATAGTCCTTATATACCCCTTATATAGCCAGGTAGTCTCCATATTAACACCAATAACCTACAAGGGTCCCTATTAAGGGTCCCTCCTAAAGCCCTTAGAATGATGCTCCAAGTAAAATGCTGCCAAAGAGGAGCCACGAGCCCCAAGGCCAAAACCCGGAACAGCCCAAGTTTCAACATCATACCTAAACCCAGAGAGCCCAATGGGGTTTAGAGTTTAGGGTTTAGGGTCTAGGGTTTAGGGTTTAGGGTTTAGGGTTGGGTTCCCAGAAACCCAATACCACTTAAATAAGGGATATACCTTAAATTATAGGGGCCTTGATATTATGATTTAAGGGATAGTCCTTAGTTAAGGGGTATTGGGCTCTCTGGGAAGCTCCTCGCCGAACCCCGGAACAGCCTGGACAGTACCATCTGAGGCACCATCATCAATAAGCTCGCCTTCAGCGAGGAGGACGACGACGCTGTCGTGCGCAGCTACACCGCCCGGGGCCTGGCGGGATTTGCTGTTCCGTTTTCAGTACTAGCGCGGTTAAGGGTTTAGGGTTGTTACTAACCCTGTCGCCATCATCTCTCTTGCTCGGATCAAAGTAGTATACCATGAACTTTTGGTGGCAGCTTGCATAGCAAGAAGCTTCATCAGCATTTCCCGCTCTCTGTGAGGCAGTGCCTTCAGTTTTTTTTCTGATCATGTGTTGCTCGGCACTGAAAGCAAGTGGATCCTAGAACCTTGCGCTTCATGACGAGGTTGAGGATCAACAATGTAGGGCTGCCGTCGACTCCCGAAAACAGGAAGGCTTGCCAGCTACACTGTCAGAACCAGAACTCTTCGTCCTCCGACGAACTCTAGTGGCTGTTCGGTAGAAAGGTGAGCCACCATCTGTCGATCTTTCTGCTTCTTCTATCTTGTTGTTCTTCTTGTAACCTAAACCCTAAACCCTAAACCCCTAAACCCCTAAACCGCAGCACCCAAGCCAAGCCTTCACCCCAGGGCCGCGAGCCTGGTCCTGAACCTCAAAAGCGACTCTGAAACCCCGGGGTCCCTGAAGCTACGACTTGGAGGATCGTGGGACTTAATAAGTAAGGGTTTAGGGTTTAGGGTTTAGCGTTTAGGGTTTAGGGTTTAGGGTTTAGTAAGGTTATAAATACCCTGATTGGGGTTATAATTATAGTTACATTATTTATAACCCTAGTTACTAAGTCCCATGATTCTCCAAGCAAGCCACCCTACATCCGGCAAGTCGACCCTGCAAGCCCATCGAGAGCCTGGTCCAAAAGCGAAGCAGGCCTTCTCAAAAGCTTGCAAGACCCCACATTAAAAAAAAAAACACCCGCCCAAATTTGGGAGTCCGTAGCCCCATAATCAGAACTGAAAGCTCCCCCCCACCCCCCAAAAAAAAGCAGCGGGAGACAGATGCAAGGAAGGCGTCCCCCAGGATGCCTGGCTCTCAGGGGTTTAGGATTTACTCGGAGGATCATGGGACTTAGTAAGTAAGGTTACAAGTACCCTAATTGGGGTTATAATTATAGTTACCTTATTTATAACCCTAGTTACTAAGTCCCATGATCCTCCAAGTAGGGTTTAGGGTTTAGGGTTTAGGGTTCCCTTGTCTTTCTTTGAGATGAGAATTTCCACCACAAGGCTTTGCATCTAGGGTTGAGGGAGAGGGTGTTCAAAGGCTTCTGTCCGTATTTTTTTGAGGTGTTTCCTGAGGGCTTCTGGAGCTCCTTGGAGTTGCGACTTCAGCGGGTCTTGAGCTGTTTGGACTCTTGTCTTCTGCTGGGGATTTCGGACAGAGGATTGCCCAGAGAGCCCAATACCCCTTAAGTAAGGAATAGACCTTAAACTTTACGGGCCTTAACATTATGATTGAAGGTGTATTCCTTAGTAAAGCAGTATTGGGCTCTCTGGGATTGCCCTAAGCTCCGAACGACGATTCTGTGCCTTCCCGCAGCGGTGTTTCGGCTCGCACATGGCGCCGGTGACGTGATGGCGGAGGCGCACGGCCTTCGGGTTTGCGGCGTTGAGGGGTTCCAAGCCATTTTGGGGGCCTAGATAATTACTTATACTATACTTTGGGGGTTCCTTATTCTGGTTATAGTATTAAAATGGGCCCCAGAACCCTATTCTAATTATTGAGGCCCCTACATTATCCCCAAGATCCATGCGGGTTCGGAAGTTTGCCTCTGTGTGCAATGTAGGGGCCTTAACAATTAGAATATGGTTTTGAGGGCTTCCGTATTATGATTATTGTATAGTATACCCCAAAACCTAGTTCCTCCTTATTATGATTATAGTATATGATACCCCAAATTCCTACTGAAATTATTAAGGCCCCTACAGTATGCTGGAGGGCTTTCCTTCCCCAACAGTGACCCCAACGGCAGAGCTCGCTTGAAGGCGCCCTAAACCCTAAACCCTAAACCCGAATATTATTAGTTTCGGGAGGGCGGACGGGATTACATAGCATCCACGAAGCTCCTCAAAGCCCCAACGAAGGGCCTCTAAACCCTAAGCCCTAAACCCTAAACCCTAAACCCTAAACCCTAAAACCGAAATCTGAAAGGCTCAGTCTGCCTCTTCCCTGATCCCCGCCCCCGGAGGCTCCGCCCCGCCAGCTTCGCAGCTTCCAGGTCCCGGTGAAGCTTCGCGGCCTGCTAGTCCCCAAAGACTTAGGGGTACTTAGAAATAATTTTTAATCTTTGGCTATTATAAACCCGAAGAAGCAGCTAAAAAATTATAATTTTTGCTAGGGGTCTAAGTTCAGTATAGAAGAGCCCAATACCCCTTAAATAAGGAATAGACCTTAAATTATAAGGACCTTAATATTTATGGTTTAAGGCATATTCTTTATTAAAGGGGTATTGGGCTCTTTGGTGGGTCTTTCGGGTTTTTTGAGACTTAGGAGTGCCTGTCGAGCGGCTTTGGGATGTGTCTTTCTATGTGCTTGAAGAGAAGCACGTCCAGGGCTGTACGAGGCCTATGAAGGCTTGCACACCTTTATGATGTCTTGAGATATCTTTGTTCAGGGATTTACGAGTTCAACTCGTAGTGTAGCCCACCACACCACACCATACTTTAGTCTACTCTACTTTACCGTACTGTACTCTACTTGGAGGATCATGGGACTTAGTTACTAGGGTTATAAATAGGGTAACTATAATTATAACACCAATTACGGTACTTATAACCTTACTTACTAAGTCCCATGATCCCTCCAAGTACTATACCCTACCAGCCCAAAGCTCCACTCGAATCATTACACGTGATCGTTGCAGCCGTGATCACGATGCAACCCTGCCCCCCGAGAGAGACCAATACCCCGTAATTAAGGAATAGACCTTAAATCATAAGATTAAGGCCCTTATAATTTAAGCTTTATTCCTTATTCAAGGGGTATTGGGCTCTCTTGGAACCCTACACCCTAGACCCTAGACCCTAAACCCTAAACCCTAAACCCTAAACCCTAAACCCTAAACCCTAAACCCTAGACCCTAGACCCTAAACTCTAAACTCT